AGTATGTGACCATCAGAGTTCAAAACAAGCTGCTTTGATTCATCCTGCTAATCTAAGACCTTCATTAGATCCTCCACCAACATGATTATATAATAATCAACATTTTGTCAGCATGTCAGCGAGTTTATATGGTATGTACACCATGATGCATACAAATACTGTTTCTCTGCATGCAGTTAGGGGTGATGCTTTTTTTTCATAATCACTTTCATTTTAGTATAATTGAGATACTTTGATAGTTCTTATTAATATTTTGAATCTGTTATTTTATTTTATTATACATATATCGTGTTAAATTTAATTACAATGAGAAATGTTGTCTTGGCAGCTGACTGAAATAAAACCTTTTAAGCAAAAATATTATTTAATTAAAAAAAATTTAAATTATATAAAAATAATTCTTAATATTATAAATAAATATTTAAACGTTTTTTTCTGAAAATGTGTATATATATATATATATATATATATATATATATTAGGGCTGTCACCATTAACCGTTAACGTATGCGATTAATTCAAAACCCTTAACGCGTTAAAATAATTTAATGCAATTAACGCAAAATAACTGAAACACAATTTCTATTCTAAGCCTTTTTTTCCCGAATTTCACTTCTCTGTTTGCAATCAAATAATTTGAAGCCGCTAAACTCCGGGAAAGTTTTCAGTCCAGTGATCCAGCAAGCGAATCCATTCAAGCAATCAGTCCAAAACAGGGCTAATGTAAAGAAAACCTAAATCATCATATGATTTAATGATTTAAATCATATTTAAATCATCGCATCATATGACCCCTTTAAAACACAAGCTCTGTGATTGTTTCTGAAGAGCGCGAGAGCTCACTCACGCGTCGCGCAGTGTGAAATACAGACTGAACGTAACGTCAAAACATCCCACCACTGTGTGATATGCAAACTACGTTTTCTCGGCTGGATAAAGCAATGGTTGATGGTTGAGGATTGCAATCACAGTAAAGACGATTGCTGTGACGTACAGGAGTCGTAAGCACGCGTGAGTCTGATACAGCGTGTTTGAGCGCTCTTGACACACAGATCATATGTTGTATTTATGCACAGACACATTTCAGTACATTCACGTTGTTTCCACACACATTCAGGATAATGTTTTGATTTGTCTTGTGTATGTTGCTGTGTTTAGTCAGTGTGCACAAATGTATCAATTATATGATCTTCTTATATCATTTGGTTCTTTGGTGTCCTTTTGGAGTGTCCCAAGTGCCCTTTTTTGAAAAGATATCTAAATTTATCTTGAAATAAGCTTGCAGAAAATACAGTTTTGTGAGAATCACCCTTCAATCTTTTGGTTTACTTTGTTGGATATAGTAAATAATGACAAAATTAATGTATTAAGCAAGATAAATGGTATATGCTTAATTTCATGATAAATGTGCGATTAATTGCGATTAATCACACACAAAAAGGGTGCGATTAAAAATTTTAATCTATTAACAGCCCTATATATATATATATAGGTTCTCTTTTCAATTCACCGGTCACAAAATTATCCGATCACGTCGAAAAGTAATAGAACTTAGAGCTCCTTTTCTAGATGTGGTTTTGAGAGTCTACATTTTTGCATTGACCTGAATCTATTATAGCCATAAAACAGAGTAAAGTATCTGCATTGAGTTGAATTCACTGGACACTTCTGGGTTAGAAATGAAAGCAACTGTTTTCAAACAGCTTATTAGATGTGAAGAGCTCATAGATCGTCAGAAGATGATTAAAAAGACGGCAGATCCCGGGGTCCCGCTGGAGTCTGTGCAGTGCATTCTGCCCTGAGCCACTCATGATTCTACTGTCTAGTTTATTGTTTATTAGTGTGCTTTTAAAGGCCTGATTTTGCCTGAAGTCATTCACTTCGGTTTCATTTTTTGCTCTCTGGTTCTTCATTCTTCAGTTATCATGTGCATTAGTTAGTCCAGATAATCTACTTTACATCTGTGCTAGCAGTTTATTTTTTATTATTTTTATTATTTTTATTATTAAAAAACATTAAAATAAAAAAAATTGCTAAAACATTTTTTTTTCCTTTATCATAGCTTAGCTGTAGTTTATGGACAAAATTCTTCCCCAAAATCTGAAATCTCCCTTTGGGGAAATTCAGGGGTGTCTGTAATTGAAGAAATGATTTTTAAATGATTATTATTTTAATAAAATGCAGGAAAAAAGTCTGTGGAATTTATCATTTGCTTTATATAAAAAGTCTATGGTCTGTCTTCATGTAAGTAAGCGTGTGTTTGTGCCATGAAATACACAGAGATGTGATGTTTTCCAGACGTTATATCTGATGTAATGATAACAGCTGTTGAACTCCATTCATACTCTACATGTGTGTATCATTTGTCAGGCAGCTCAAACCAAACATGGACCTTCAGAACGTCTTTTCCTGTTCCTCCTCACGTCATAAACACATCAGCCCGCCGTACACATCTCATTTCTCTCTTCTCTTTCCGTCTGTCCCAGTTTTACTGATATTATTTAGCAGGACACTGTTGCTGTAACCTTAGGCTGAGTGAAACCTGGCGTGGATCTTCAGACGATTAAACCCAGACAGAAACGTTTAGTTTACAGGTGTCTTCATGTTCATCTTTCCTTTCATCTTCCAGAGTTTTATGCTGACTCATTTTTGCATTTATGTGTTGTCGTAGCATTAGAGGAGATGTTGAAACATGCCCCGTCTCTGCCCCCGTTTTCCATAAACAACGAGGAAACGGGGCCATTTGACAAATAATGTAAGCATGGCATAACATCTGTTTATGGGATGTTGGGAAATTATGAAGGCTGAGAATTACAAGAACGTTAAAAGATTATTAAGACTGGTCCCACGGGGAACTCCACAGTTCTTGCAAAATATTTATTTAAAGCACGTTGATTAAATCGGTATTATCGTCTGTTGTATTTCTGCTAATGCAATAGAAGTGGTTTGTCGTTGCTCAAGGATGAGTTGTAATATATGCACTCTTTGAAGTGTTACAAGCTCTTGGTGCATAAAGAAGATCTGTAAAGTTGCAAAGACTAAAGTCTCAATAATATTATTAGAATTATTAAATGTTTATTACAATTATTTTAATAAAAACAAGATGTATGAACAGATATAAAATATGAAATATTTCACTAAAAATGTATAAATAAAATATGTTGTTGTTGTTGTTGGTGTTGTTTTTAAATAGTTTTAATATTATTGTAATTATTAATATATACATTTATTAATATTATTTTAATAAAAACATTATTACTATTATTATTATTATATTTTTTTAAAAATTATATTTTCAAATCAAAAATATAATATGATTTTAATGTTCACCAGATGTTCGCAAATAAATAAATAAAGAGAAGAAGAAGATTTGGATCAACATGAAGTTTAGACACGGCGGATCTGAGTCAAGATCTCACGTAAGATCCGTCGTGTCTAAACTGTGTCTGGAGATTTGACGTCATCATCAGCACCAGGAATGTCATTGATATATTATTTCAGTGTTTGATGTGGTAAATGTGGTCAAGCATTATCCTAACTAACAGTGTCAGAACATTCATGACAGTGCCTTTCATTTCTTCAGTTTCTCAATATGTGAAAATCCAGATCTGATCTGCCTCTGAATCACAGCATATGGGAATAAAAATGGCATGTAAATTAATGATGAGTGGGATTACTCACAACCTGAGCAGAATGGCCTGAGGTGACGAAGAATTATATGTAAATATTTTATTGAATATAACTCAGAGAAATAAATGTGGTAGTCAGTATGTCGTCTGCTAACGGCGATGATATACTCTCTGAATGAGTTTGTTTTGTGAGACTCTACTCTGTTTTGTGTTCTGTTTTTAACTCAAGATCAGCGCACTCTAATAATAACGAATAAAATATGCATCTTTGTCCACTGCAGTGAACGTGTTTTTTATTAATAAACCTGAATACATTAAACATCCTGTGGACTTCTCTGATATAATAAAATGATTGGGAGTGTGCCCAATATGATCATTAATATTTGGTTTAGTATTGAAATTTTATAAATTGGTAATAATAATAATAATAATAATAATGCACTGCATTTAAAGTCGTAACAATATGTAAATGTGTATAATTTTTATCAAAATCATGTTAACAAAATGTATTTATTAGTAATTATTACAAAGAATGGTAACATTATTAAAAACAACAGCAATAATAATGATACAAAATTACATACTGCTGATGTACTTTCAAAATTGTAATATGTTTGGTATACAAATAATACTAATTCTAGTATTACAGATATAGTATAAATATATTACAAATTGTAATGATATGAAACGTTTATTATATAATGTTTATCGAACAAATTATATGAAACGTTTCTATATAATGTTTATAATATATAATATATTGTCATTATATATAATAATAATATATTATAACATAATATATATGTATTGTTTTATGAAAATAATATTAAATGTATACATATTATAAATGTTACAATTATTTAAAAACAATAATAATAATAATATTAATATATTATATCATTATTATATATGCAATAAATTATCTTTTTATAAAAAATAAAAATAAATGTAATTATATAGTTTTTTCCTTAAAGGGGTCATGAACTGCCTTTTTTTATTATTTTGTACTGTTCTCTGAGGT